AGATGTCATACTTGTACAGTTGGAAGAGTATCATGGTAAGGATGGTACTTCACAGGTATTATAGTTGGAAAGATTATCATGGCGGAAAAGAAAGAATCAAGGGAGAATGCTTACCCATATCTGAGAATCTAAGCTTGCGGTGAAAAACTCCAAAAAGGAGGAATCTCTAGAAAGAGATCCTTCCCCAGTGGTGGTCAGCCCTTAAATGGGGTCTAGGAGGGGGTGCAGCCTGGTTGGAATTGCCTTCACCTGTGCTCCCACGGCTGACTCAGTCCTTGCCTCAGGTGATCAATCAGTGGTTCAGGCTGTGACTCTACAGTTCCCATACACATACTGAGAGGTCTAGGCTACTATACAGAAGTCTTAGACCCGTTACTCTCACAAAGCGTGGCCTTGGGTGGTTTGAAACTACTCAAATCTTGGGTTGTCTAAAACAAGCAGTCCATTTACAAAAGAGGAAGCGTACTTTAAAGTACTTTATTTAAGCTAATTGAGAGGTAACTAACAAATTCAAGGTGTTTTGAACACATTTAAGGAGTCAGACAAACACGAGGCATAAACAGAGTTATCAGTCATCACAGAGTCACAGGATGAATCAGGTTGGAAAGGACCTCTGTAGGTCATGTAATCCATCTCCCTGTGGAAAGCAGAGCCAGTCTCCATGGCAGACTCAACTTCAAAGCTAGAGCAGCTTGCTCAGGGTCTTAGGTGAAGAGTGGAGGTATTACGGCTTTTGATTTTATACCTATCATCAGATAAAGTGTCAGCGATGATTAATAAGAGTAACATGGAAAAATGACTGATCACAGTTTTCAAAACTAAAATGAACGCTTTATTAATTCCTCTTTACATTGTATGAGCTACATTCTTCAGACCTAGTAAAATTACATCTGTTCTTCTTATGCTATTTTATAGCAAACTATCAGACTTGCTAAGATTTTTACAAATGTGTCAAGATCAACTCTGAGCAATGATCCACATCTTCTAACGTGGAAGCTGCTTTTAAGCTAGCAATTTTCCCTTGGAACAACTGTTTAGATTCAAAACAAGCAGATACCATCTAAGACCACTGAGCCATGTTAATTCTGATATCTGCATCTAAGGTATAATTAAGGTTAAACCTCTTCAAGTGCTACCAAAGGAGCAGCCTCTGATTTTTGTTTATGTTTAAGAACAAATTAGAACAGAATTATAAGCCCAAAGCTTGACTTGTTTTACAGCTCTAAGCTGTAAATTAAGCTTGCATGTATGGTCAGTGTACCACTAAGCTTGAATATGCACAGGGACCTGGCTACACTTATTTCTTTGAGAGTGTTTTAATTTTCAAATAGCCATGGATGGATAGTTTTTAAATAACGTAATACTCTTAAAGAAAACCAAGTGCTACATAAAAACACAGATTCTTAAGTAACAAAGTCATATGTCCCCCATAAATCAGGAGGGTTTCATACTGGCTATTGGCATTCAGTCAAATATATTTTTATATGTGCTATTTCCACTGAAACTGAAATGCTTCATAAGGAGCCATTCTTTTTTATGAATATCTATGTATCTAATCTAAAATACAACACATACCTGACAGATCAGACTCTATGGAATCTACATCATGCTGACAAATCTTAGATTTAGAAAATTATAATGGGTACACTGAATTGCATAAATTCAAATCTATTATTATTTATTCTGCAAATATAAGGCAACTACCTGTACAGGCATAGATTCACCATGCAGTTCAGCAAAGATATATTTAATTTTAAACAGATGCTGATATAGACAAGAACTTTCATCATAACTCTTAGCTCCTGATAAATCCGTAAATGAACCACTGCATATCAGACTTAATACACTTCAAATTAGGTTTAAAGCAAATTTTGTTCAATGACACAAAGCACTGTAAGTTTTCCAGTTTAGCATGTGGGTTTAAAACACAGCAGGATTAAAGACAACTTGTGCATGAGGCCAATTTAAGCATTAATCAGAGAAAATAATTTTATGCCCAAAGACAGCTGGTGAAACTGCAGAGCAGCAACACTGGATCTCAAGATTTTACCACGAAGCTCTCCACACCAGCAACTCCGTCAAATCTTCAGCTCCTGAAGCTCATATTAGGGAGACTTCTAGAATTTCATAAAGGAGAGAGGCATATGCATGAACACCCTCCCAGTTATTGTAATCACAAGAAAGAAAAAAAAAAAAAAAAAAAAAGTATTTGGTATTTCACGTAGACTTGAAAAGAAGAAAGCAAATGAGGATGAGCTTTTTTATAATCTTAAGATTTTAAAAATTAATCTGACTCGCCATGTCACACACTTGAACCAATAACCCTGTACAGCACCTACACAACTTTATAAGCAGTATGAGAGCAAAGGATTGCTTGTAAGCTACAGAAAAAAGGCCTGAAAACAGCAAACGAAGAAAATACTCCAAGCACCAGCAACGCTCAAGGAAAACTGAGAATTATCACTTCCTGCTAGCTATAACAGCCAATGTAATCACATTGTGCCTTCCCTTCTGCTCAGTGCTACCAGGCTGCCCTTTTGATAGCAGTCAGGGGTCCTACATCTAATTACAAAGATTTTTAATTAAACCTTGAATGTGCTTTAACAGCTTCTAGCATGAGCTTGCCCTTGATGGAGCCACTTGAGGTGCTCTCCTTCAAGGGATGATGAAGTAAATCTCTGAGAACCATGGGGGAAGATGCCTTTTGCCTGTGTATGCTACTGCTTTTCACAGCTAGCTAGCTACAAAGCCGCTTGCGTTAGTATCAAGCTAAAAGAGCTTTCCCTGTGGGAGCTCTCCACTCTCTTTAAAATATACCACTCGCTATATTTTTGATGTAGGAGGAAAGTGCACTTAAAATATTAAGCAAGGACACAAAATGGTCTCAAACAAGAGCCCAAACCAACTCAGTGAACTTACTGGGATTCTCTCCCTTGACTCTAATGGGAATTATAACACACCACCAGAAAGCAAAAGCATAAAGTGTGGTTTCTCATATTTCAGGTCTCCTTAGAATGTAGAATCGTGTGCCAAACATGAGGAAAATGAACAACTTATTCCAGGCTCCTCAAATAAAACAATCCCTCACTTCTCCCCCAGTAGCTTGTGGAACCTGGCTCCACTACACTGGAAAGTATCTAAGCAAAACAAGCACAACTCAGTGAGTCAAATTTTAGTGCAGGGCAGAAGAAAGTACCATGAGGGGGCAAATTTCCACCACACAGCATCCTACAAAACTACATTTTATTCCATCTGTCTGCACCGATTCATCCTCCACCTTTCCCTGAGCACACAGGCAACTAACAAAGCAATCAGAGAGATCAGCTGCCGTATATGCTGTGCCATAAGCTGCCCTGCTTTTCTTCATGTCCCACTTTGTGTCTGTGTGTACTCACGAGCAGTGGGGGATGGACTGGGGGGGGGGAGACCCGACAAAGGGTGTGTGCGCAGGGGGGTCAGAGTGGAAGCAGGTTTTCATTCACACCATCTGAAAAGTCCTTCTGCAATCAAGGGGATACTATTTCAGGAGACAGAAAAAAGGGGTAAAGGATTCACGTTGCTAAGGAGACACGCAGAAGCCAACATTCCTACATAAATTTCCATTTATGCTGGAGAAGAAAAGAAAGCTCTCCAAAGTTTGTGAAGCAGCCCGGGTAACTGATTGGAACTGACGTTTCTTTACAATTTGTTTTGGCATTATGTGATATAAAACAAAAACCCCAATCAACATTCAAAACCTCCAACATTACACAATGGCAGAAAAAATAAGAACAGGAGCAAAGGAACATGTACTATTCCTACCACAGTAGAGAACTGCAATTCCATAGAGCCTACAACAGGATTTCAGAGAAGTCAAGGTAAAAGCAGCTCTCTGCCCCTTACTAAAGCCAGCATCTCATCCCTGGGCAACGTACCAGAAGTTGCAGAGTTCAGTGATGCAAAGGGATGATTTAGAGATGCATGTGGGGGGGGGAGACAGGTTGCCTTTGTGGTGCTTCTGTCGGGACTCCAGAAGTTGCCATCGGCATAAAGTAAATTAAAAAAGGCATGAAAATGGAAACAATTACCAAACTACAGAAGAATTCACTGAAAAATATTCAACAGGCAGCTTGTTTATACCACATGCTGTTTTCTTTTTGTATTTTTTTTTCCCCTCAAGTGCTCCAAGTAACGGTGAAATGGCATTAACAAATATATATATATGTCCAGCCACATGAAAGGCCGAGCATCAAGAAGTCAAAACAGAGAATGTAGTGAGAGAAAAGAGGAGTACAGAAGATGATAGGAACAATATCAAGCAATATGCACTAGAAAAAGACTTGAGCACATCAAGACGGCTGGCAGAGAGCTAAAATCCAGATGTCCTCATTCGGGACAAATAACAGCAATTTTTTTTTTTTTAATATTTGGGAAGCCCCAGCTAGCTAAGACCAATGACTCTGGGGGTTGGGGATAGAATGGTAAGAACCTCTGATCCCCCTGAGCTTCTCAGAACAACGGTGACACAGAAAAATAACCCAAACCGGCTTAAAGTCGGGACCTTTCGTGCAAACCGCCGCGTGCAAATACAGAATCAGTCACCTCCGTCACTCACAGAGCTAACACCTCCGCTGAACCCCAGACTATCACGCAGGGAGGAGAAACAACAGAACATGGACTCTCGGAGCCCTCAGCAGCGCACGTTACGTCCAAAGCCCATTTCCACTGCCCTCCCCTTCACTCGCAGGACAGAGAAACGGGCTGGAGCCGGGCGGGGAGAGCGGTCGGGACTGAAGAGGAGGATGGAAGACCGAGCACGGACACAGGGGTCGGGAAGGCTGCCCGGAGAGAGGGGACAAAAGGTTGCGGCCGGAGAGGGAGGCAGCCAAGGCGAGCAGCCGAGAACGGAGCGCCAGGGGGTGCCGCGGGGCACCCGGGCGCGGGCGAGGTCCCCACGGGCGGGGTGGGGCCGGAGCACCGGGAGGCGGCCGGGGACACCCGCGTGTCACTCTCGCACTCACCGCTGTGCAGCGTGGACTCGCAGAGCCAGCTCTCCAAGTTTCCGGGCTTGCGGCAGGACTCCCAAAGGGACAGGTAGTACTGGTGGTCCGCCGTCACCCAAGCGGGGCTCAGCACGGCGCCCAGATCCAGGCACAGCGCCAGGAAGATACACACCAGTCCCACCAGCTTCAGAGGGGTCAGCACCGAGACGCGCACCTCTTCCATGCCGCTGCCGGACGAAGCCATGGGGCCGGGGGGAAGGAGGGAGGAGGAGCGGGAGGACGCGCTGCCGCCGGCCCCGAGGGGAACAGGAGCCACAGCCCCGGCAGCCGGCAGGAGAAGCGGGAGGAGCGCTGACTAACGGCGGGGAGCGGCTTTGGCAGGCGGCAGGCAGCAAGCGGCAGCCGGCGCCACTCCCTCCCTTCTCGCTGAGTTCCCGCCCCGGTGTATCAGGTGCAGCAGCTCCCCCTAGGCGGCCCCAGCTCCACGCTGCCCGGCCCGTCTCGATTCGACTCTGCCGAGCCCTCCCGCCGAGCTCCGCCCCCTGCCCGCCCCCTGCGGGGGGATGGCGCGCTGCCCGGCCCGCTACGGGGCAGGCTTTGGGGCTGAAGTTTGGAGAACGTTCTGCGTTCTCAGCCGGGTGGAGGCGGGGGGAATGCGTGAGGACCGCCGGAGGACCGAGGAGCCAGGGGATACCCAGCTCCAGCTCAGGTGTGGGGTTAGCAGTGTGTGAGCTTGGTTCCTTGTCTGAAATGACCATTAAATTGCAAGTTATCAGTGTAAAGAAAAAGAAAAAAAATCACTTTTTCATGGTTTGCATGTGGACATGGTGGTAATTCCCACTCCCATCAGCTGTGTTTCGGATCCCAAATGAAATCTTGAAAAAGGATTGGATGCCCAGCCTTCATTTCATCTCTGTTTATTTTGTGTAATTAGCATTACAGCACCGAGAATGCCAGAGGTGAGTATTTAGGTTAGTTGTTAAACACAGGTACTGCTGTAACTCACTGTCTAAAGCAGCTCTGCCCTCATAAGATAGAAGCACGTACACAAGGTATTCCATAATGTCCATTAAAGAATACTGAAGAAGATAAATCCCCCCCAGATCTGAAGGAGAGCACTGTGACTTCAGCCTTCAGAGTTAAGGCACAAATATAAAAATGAGAAGGGGAAAACCAAGCCCAGAAAGCCACTATCTGGTGTATAAATCAATCAATTGACTTCTCCAGAAATACAAATTATTATATCTCTGTTAATATTATTTAGCTATTTAACTCTTTTTTTTTCCTTCCCCCCCCCCCCCCCACACACACACATACACACTTTGATTTTCTTCCAAAGGTCCTGATCTGTTTTAACTACAGAAATATTCTCAGTAATTTCAAAAGGTACAAGTCTAAATCTTAATGGTTTAGACAACTTCTTCATTCTGTTTCATTCCTTTTGTAGTCCTTTAAAGCAGAAATAAAAAGAATGAATATGAATGTTCATATTGCAGACTCCTGAAGATGACCAGCTTTGCTATTACAGCTGTTTATAGGAAACTAAGAGGCGTGGTTCTGATTTCTCAGTTAGACTGCAGTAGGTAACACAGGTTTTGCAATAATTTCTCCTTTTTGTTTAGATGCCTCCTCTGTTAAAAGCAGCCACCAAAGCTCAGTGTCTTGATTCCAGAGTAAATGCATTGGGATGCATAGACAATGCTAGCAGCAGTTGGTGTGTGTCTACACCATAAGCATTTGTGAAGTAGCCATTCCATAACTAATCCTGAAGGAGAAATGCTTTTCCCTGACCTGCTACTGCTAAGATTTGAAAGGAAATGAAATCAGTGTTTTTATTTTCTGAAATAGCTTGAGTAAATATGTAGCAGACATTAACATGTTAGTCAATTAGTTTGTTTAAGTCATGTTTCTATTACCTCTCAATTATAGAATGTTAAGTATTTGGAGAACATAGCAAATATAATTAAAATAAAGGGAAAGGGTTTAAAAATTGATAAAAAGTTGTGCCAAGCTAAGCACACCATCTCAAAACCATCTGAAATGTAGTGTCATGGTTCTATCTTAGTGCTTCATAAAAAGGAGAAAATACCAACAGCTGAAATATGGAAACAGAAATAGCACTGGTATCTATAGTTAATGTTCCCAGCACTTTCTGTACAAGACTCAATTTGTTTTTACTTAATTAAACCCTCGCTGCTAGGGCTGAAGTTGCCTCTGCAAGATATCTGCCTCAGGTTGATTTTAAGTTCTAGATGAAGTTCAATCATAGTGAGGCTGAGAAATATATGTATTCACTGTGTATGAAAAAGAAAAAATAAATTCAATAAATTTCTCTCTGAGAAGAAAGCTGACGTACCACCCCAAAATACAAAAACAACCACAACCAACATGCCATGCACACTGTACTCTGTTGAAAGCTGCTATGTCTGTATGAGCTGTGTATCAGCAATTGAATGCTATGGCATGATCCAGCCTGGGCATTCAAAGTTGTGAAGGGTCTGTAGCACAAGTCTTATGGAGGGTGGCTGAGGAAGCTGGGATTGTTCAGTCTGGGGAAGAGGAGGCCCAGGGGAGACCTTATTGCTCTCTACAACCACCTGAAAGGAGGATATGGTGAGGTGGGGATTGGCTGCTTCTTCCAGATAACATCAATAAGATGAGAGGATAAGGTCTCGAACTGTGCCAGAGGAGGATCTGGTTGGATATTAGGAAAAATCTCTTCTCACAAAGTGGTGAAGCAATGGCACAGGCTGCCCAGGGAGGTGGTGGAGTCACCGTCCCTGGAGGTGTTCAAGAGACGTGTGGATGTGGCACTGAGGGACATGGGCAGTGGGCATGGTGAGATGGGCTGATGGTTGGGCTAGATGGTCTTAGAGGTCTTTTTCAACCTTAATGATTCTGTGATTCTATTCTATTATTCTGGCCACCTGTTTGTCCTGGAAGGACCCGGGAGAGCCCACTTGGAATATGAGAAAGAGCAGAAAGATTTCCTCACCTCATAGATGTTCTGCTCGAATAACAGCAGTGGGAACAGAAGTGGTGGGACTGCTTGGTTCTAAGGCACAGTCAGGTATCAAGGCCGAATTGCTGAAAAAAGGCAGCCTGGATTTCACAGAGGGCTGGAAAGAAGGAAGCAGAGACAGCGTGAGAGTGTGAGCAAAGATTAAGTGAACAGAGGCAAAAAAGAAAAGGCAGCATGAAGGAACTGAAATAGTACTGTTAGTAACAAAATAACAAGCGCCATTGCTTCAGAAATTTGTCTTTGAATTTCCGAGTACTGTGACTATCTTTTTCCTTTGGTTAATGGGTATGAAATCAACTAGAAAATCTCTGCCCTTCCTCCCTGGGTGGTTGGCCTAAAGAAGAAACAGCTACTGAAACTATTATTTCAAGTGACAAAGGTCTCTTGTGTGTCACTACGATGGCCTAACTTTTGCTGAAGGCTAAGTTGTGGGTCAGTGTAATTTCACACAGTGTGCACTGGAGAAATTACCCATTTCTGAAGCACCAGAATAACTTACCTGCATTGAGACTTGGAGCTCCTACTGATAAAGGAAATCAGTTACAGGCATGTTTTAAACATGTAAAATATTACAAACTTGTTGACTATTCCCAAATATGAATTTCAAAGCACCCATGTTTCTCTTACCACTAGTGAACCGTTCAGATAATTCTTGATAATTCTGTACATGGAATTCCTCTTATAAAACCATCTCCAAATCTTTCAGAGATGTTCAGTATAGTTTATGAGAAAAACTCGTGTGCTCTTCTCACAAAGACTTTAGTAGCAGAATTAATAGTGCTGCATCAGCAAACAAGTTAGTATGGAGGTAAAATGCAATTAAAAAAATCACAAAGTTTCTAAGAGGTATTGAATACCTGCTTTACCTCTTTGGAGAGGCAAGGATCCTCTGCAAACACAGAGCATGCTCATATACTAATTTAGTATGTCAACATTAATCTTTATGCAGTACCTATCTAGAAACAGATGAATTAAAGTCAGCTAACCCTTTTCATTTCTAAAAGATATACTTTGGGACAAAAGTATTTTTGGTACAATATGCTGTTATATTTGCATTTTAAAATAGAATAATTCTGATTAATAGCATTTCCAACCTAGTTTTTTTTGTAAGATACTTAAAAATGTTATAAAAGTAAACATTGTAGCAGCTTAGTTTTAGACTATACCTTGCTTTTCTCTGTTTTTTTGTTTTTGTTTTTGTTTTTTTCTCCAGCTTGTCCTTTGAGTATTTTCTCTTATTTACTTTCCTACCTCCTATTTTTCTTTTGGTGCTTTTTATATCTCTTGCAGACTCAATAACCTAGGCTGGAATGAGACCCTCAGAGGTCATCCAGCCCAACTTCAATACAGGTGTGATCAGATCAATTTGTCCAGGGCCATGTCCTCTTGAGGCATAAGCATCTCCAAGGGTGGAGATGCCACAACTATCCTGGGACATAGCACAGTGATGTTTCAACACCCCACTAGTGAAAAGCTTTTACAAATATCTAATTATAATTTCTTGTGTTACATCCTTTTTGTTTTGCCTTTTGTCCTATCACCTCTTCTTCACAGTCTGGAACCATCATTTTGTGTCCACTGGTCAGGAAGCAATAAGTTCTCCAAAGCCCTCTTTTCTCTGAGCTGAACAAGCCCAACTCCCAGATTCTTCTTTGTGCCATGTGCTCTGATCTTCCTCATTGACCTGTGCAGGACTAGCACCAGTATGTCAATATCATTCTTGTACTGGAGAGCCAAAATTCTGGACAGATCACTCCAGATATGGCCTCAAAAGTCACAGAGTCATACAGAATGGCTGAGGTAGGAAGGGATCTCTGGAGATCACCTAATTCAGCTCTTCTCAAGAAAGGAGACCTAGAGCAGGTTGCATAGGAAAGCATCCAGGCAGGTTTTGAATAACTCCATAGAAGGAGACTCTAAAACCTCTCTGTCACTCTCACAGTAGTTTTTCCTTATGTTCAGAGAGAACTGCCTGTGTTTCAGTTTGTACACATTACTTTTTCTGGGCACCACTGAAAAGAGCCTAGCCCTGTCCTCTTGACACCCTCCCTTAAATTTGCACACACTGATAAGGTTCCCTTCTTATTCCTCTCCAGCCTGAACAGTCCCAGATCTTAGCCTTTCTCAAACGGGAGATACTCCAGACCCCTAATGGTTTTTGTGGCCTTCCTCTGGACTCTCTCCAGCAGTTTCCTGTCTTTCTTGAACTGAGGAGCCCAGAACTGGACATACTCTTCAGACGTGTCATCATCAGGGCAGAGCAGAGGAGGAGGATCACCTCCCTTTTGCTCTTTTTAATGCTCCCCCAAGATGCCAGTGGTTTTCTTGGCAGCAAGGGC